ACCAGGGGGGTCCGGGGCGTTTGGGGGGTTAAAAAAACCTATAAATACTCCAAATTTTAAACATTTTTTCACACCTCTTCTCCAACTCTCCCTAAATCCTACTCTCTACTCATCTCCAATTCTCCATATTCATCTTCTCAAATTCTCTTATTCTCCTTTATATTTTATTTTACTATTTAATACTTATACAATTATTATATCTACTTATATATTAATTATCTACTTATAAATACATATACTATATTACTTATATTTCTTATCTACTTAATCTCTACTTATATTTCTTAATACATACATACATACTACATCTACTTAATATATACTTTATCTACTTTTATATATACTTTATAATATCTATTTTATATATACTTATTTTCTTATTTTCCAATCTCCAATTCTCCATTATACTCTAATATTTAATTCTTATACAATTATTATATCCACTTAATACATACATTCTACATCTACTTAATATATACTTTATATATTAAAGTATAAAATATAAGTGTATTACTCATCTTATAGTAGTATACTTATATATTATATACTATAAACATTATATTATATACGAAGTATTACTTACTATAACTAGTATTGTACTAGTTAATTAGTTAATTAGCATTCTTGTTACATTTATCATTATAATAGTTAATTAGTTCATTACCATTATTGTTACATTTTTCATTATACTAGTTAATTAGTTTATTAGCATTGTTGTTACATTTGTCATTATACTAGTTAATTAGTTAATTAGCATTGTTGTTACATTTTTCATTATGCTAGTTATTTACTTCATTAGTATTCTCATTAATTGTTAAAACAACTCTACTTCAATAAACTAGTTAATTGTCATTATAGTTAAAGTCACATTTTCTTATTTTCAATTTATATTTGTAGGAAGAAATAGTAGTTCAATCATTTAATTAAAGTACTTAACATTTTATTTAAGTAGTTTTTACTAAATTAAAGTACTTCAAAAGTTGGTATAATTTTAATTTTAAAGTCACACATTAATTCTACCTTGCACTAAATTAGTTTGAAGTATTAATTAAAATAGTTTTAATTAGTTGCATTAGTTTTGTATCCATTATTATATTGGTTGTCAATTAATATTTGTTACATTTTTAAGATGGAAGGTGGTAGATATTCGGTTGATTTGGGTAACCTCCAACGCAATCGAAGGAACGAGATTGGGAGGAAGAAATCCCGCAAAGGTAAAGAACTTGCCGGTTCTTCATCTCAAAGCCGAGATGATTTTGAAACGGGTTACCAAAGGCGAGATGGAGATGCGATGTCCGAAGAACAACTCCAACAAGAATTGGCCCGACAAAATAACCGCTTTCTACAACAACAACAACAACAAATGCCGACGACCATTGACGAAGAGGAGCTTGAGGATGAAGATGCAGAGGAATTGGAACCGGAGACGGCCGAGGAGGAGGGTGCCGGCAGCCACGACGCCGACGAGCCTGCCTCATCCCAAACCGCCACCGGTAATAAAAAAAAAGTAAGTCTGAACTAATGAAAAATAATTTTGATAAATGGAAGGACCCACAAACCGGCTATTGGCACGCAACTTGCAAGTGGTGCAACAACAATTATAGTTTGGGAACCTCCGGCGGATACGGATCCGCCGCAAGGCATCTTAAGGCAAAGCACCCCGTGGAGTATGCAAAATTAGGCGGCGGAACGGGGAAGCAAACTCAAATATCGAGATTTGCGAATTCTCAACCTTTTGGTAATTTCTCCTACAATGATGCACAAAATTTGACTGATATGGCTAACTTAATTTGTGAAGAAAATTTGCCTTATTTGTTTTCTGAAAGTCTTGCTTTAAGAGATTATGCACAAGGTAGTTTAAATCCTCAATTTAGAAATTATAGTCGCAAAACTGTTAAGAAAGAAATAATAAGGCTTTATAATGCGGAAAAGGCAAGGTTACAAAATTTTTTTGCAAACTTTGATGGGCGTGTTACTATTTGTTCTGACATATGGGAGGATGATTTTCATCATTTATATTATTTGGGTCTGACTGCACATTATATTGATGAGGATTGGAATATGCATAAACGTGTTCTTGCTTTTCGTGAATTTAATGATCGTCACACCGCTGAACATATTTATATTTTGATTGAGCGTATTTTAATTGAGTATAATTTGATTGATAAGGTGTTTGCTATTGGTTTCGATAATGCTACTAATAATACTGTTGCTATACCTAGATTGCGTGAGTTGTGTGGTGCCAATACTTTGATGGGTAGATTTTTTCATCAACGGTGTGCATGCCATGTTATAAATTTATGTGTGCAAGACGGTTTAAAAGCGTTAGGAGATTCCATGGAGGTAATCAAGGGGGGGATTAGACGTATTTGGGGTAATGGTCAACTTAATTAAAATGGCAAACTTATTTGACTGAAAAAGGTGTGAGATATGTTGCTTTTTCTAAAGATTTGAGTATTCGTTGGAATAGTACTTATAAATTACTTAAAGTTGTTCTTAGATATAATGAACATTCTCCTGTTTTTTTAAAAGAACATGATAACTATATTATAAACGCGGCTGAGATCGACACTTGCGAAAAAATTTGTAATGTTTTGATATATTTTTTTAATGCTACTGAAACTTTTAGTCATGTTTATAAACCTACCGCAAACCAATTTATTCCACAAGCTGTTAATCTCGCCGATGCTTTTAAAGAATTTCAAAATGCCGTTTTCGTTCATTATTTTTGTGATTTTATGAAGGAAAAGTTTTAAAAATATTATGCGCATATTCCCCATATTTATGGTATTGCATTTATTCTCGATCCTCGTTATAGACTTGCTAATTTAGAAGATTGTTTCAACTTCTATTATCTTGCGTTTTTTGGTGAATTTCCAATGTATGACGATAACCTCATAGATACGAAAACGAAATACAACGAGGTTAGTACTTTATTTTATGCCTTATTTAATGAGTTTCGTGCACAATATAGCAACGCTCCTCCTCCCCCGTCACGAACATCTTCATCTAAAGGAAAATCGATTTTTAAATCTGCATTTGGCAATCTTATGAAAAAAACAAAAACAACTCACGTCACTGAACAAAGTGCATTGAATGAGATTACTTTGTATTTAACATATGAAGTTGATTTTGAAGAAAATGATGACTTTGACGTTCTAGACTGGTGGAAGTCAAAAGAAAGAACGTTCCCGATTTTAGCACGGATGGCTAAGCAAGTACTATCAATGCCGATTTCAACAGTTGCTGTGGAACAAGAATTTAGTTCGGCCGGCAACGTCTTAACGGCATCTAGATCGAGATTGAGCGCGGAGTCTCTTGAGACGCTTATATGCTACCACGATTGGTTGAAGGCCGCACGTAGAACTCAAGAAATGAGCATCACCCCCTCCCAAGATTTTATGGATTACTCAACAACCGATGGTGGCTCTACCTATGCCGGAGATTTCGATTGATTAGTATTTTAGAATTTATTATAAAATGTATTTTATAGCACTTCTCAAAATTATTTATACTTGTACTTCATATTTCAAAATTGTAAACTTGTACTTCATATTTCAAAATTGTAAATTTGTAGTTGTACTTCAAATTAATTTGTAAACTTGTACTTCATATTTCAAATAAATATGTGTTCACTTTTTCATATGTAGCACTTCTCAAATTAATTAATTGGTTACAAACTAACGATTTAAAATTATTTTTCTAAAATATAAAGCCGGTTTTTAAATTAAAAATACATTTACAATATGTAATTTGTTTAAATACTTATACATCTATTTTGTAACATTTGTAAATTATAAATCAAACCACTTTTCTAAGTACAAATAGTTTTAGTTTTACTTAATTCATTAAATTAATTAATTTATTTTACAATATGTATAACTTAAAAAAAAATTGAAATCAAACCTCCCAAACGGCTATATAGCCGTTGGGGCTATGGGTGGGGGGCAGAGGGGTCCCGGGGGTGGTGGTGTGGGGAGTGGGGTTCAAAAACATCTATAAATACATCTATTTTCTAACATTTTTCTACACCTCTTCTCCAATTCTTCTCCAACTCTTCTCCATCTTCATCTTTTCTTATTATCCTACATTCCTACTTATACATATACCATTTTAAATATGGAAAGTACATCTTCCCTTATGCAAAACAATTTTGACAAGTGGAAGGACCCGAAGACCGGATTGTGGTGGGCAACTTGTAGGTGGTGCAAGAAAGAGTGTTGCTTGGGGTGTTCATACGGATACGAGATGCCAATAAAACATATGAAGTCCTGTGACAAAGGGAAAACAACAACCAACGGTGGCGGAAATCTCAATTGATATTCATTAGAAAATGTATTTCGTATTGTTATTTTTTTCTCAATTCTCAAATGTACTTCTTATTTCAAATAAATGCACTTGAACTTTGTTTTTAATAGGAATTTGTATAATATATAACTAATAAAAAAAATACTTGCCCGGCCCGGCCCGGCGGGTGGCCCGACCCGTGACCCGGGCGGGTGGCCCGGCCCGAACCAGAACCGGCCATTGCCCGGGCCGGTTCCGGGCCTACCATTACAAGACCCGAGGCCCGACCGGGCCTTGACCCGGCCCGGGTCCATCACTATCCTGGATTCCAAGGGAGGTTGATGGCTTGAAGCTTTGATGGTCTGGGAGGCAATTATAGCTGGGCAAGGAGTATCAGGAAAAGCCGCTATGGCAATAAACTGATAATTGAAACAGAGCGTTTAGTAACCTCAGATAGTCAGATGTGCAATTGGAACTGGGTTTTATTTGGATTTGCTATGGATTTGCTATGGTATCACCTTCTAAATTATACAGAGTACAATTTGAATGACTTTTTCGCTGCAAATAAAAAACAAATTCACTCAAACAACCATTAGCAAGTAGAGTCTAACTTTCCCTTCATTTTGAGATCTTAAAAAGAGAATTTACTGTAGTGGAGTGAAAATCGTGTAAACATATAAAATCTTTTCTCCAATATTTAGGAACTTTGATCAGGGATTTGAACACAACTCACACAGTCACACTCCTCATATCGGAATATAGCATGTGGGCATGCAAACAAACACCCAAATACTTCCGGATACTTCAAATGCTCAGTTGGCTCACAATTAGGAATACAAGGAGCATAGGATAGGGAGATGGTATAATAATGACATAATGTGCAATCAAGAATGCTGAAGTAGAATAGTCTGTACAGTTGACAAGCTATTGTGTTTCAAAAATTAAGCCTTCATGTTACACCACATAAGGGTCAATGATGCAAAAGAAAATAAACCAATACATCATATTTGACCCTCTCTGCTACACCACATAAGGGTCAATAATGCCAAAGAAAATAAACCAATAGATCATAATTGACCCTGTCTGCAGCTCAATCAAAAGATGGCATTTAGAATGATGAAATATTATGTTTAGCAATAACACTCCCTTGAACTTTTTTCACAAAGTAGGTCACTGTGCTGCTAAACTGGTATCTTCTCCGGCCAAGCTACTATCTTTCTTATCAACAGCACAGCCTTCTGGAGAAACTGTGGCACCAATTCTTTTGGGTGGCCAGTACCGGAATACAGATCTCCCAATTATATTCTTCGAAGGCAGTGGGCCCCTAATAAAATTGAATAACCCATGTTCAATGAAAATCATATATTAAGCACCACCATCACTGCCTTAATCCCAACTCACTTGGTTTGAGTGACTTTAAATTTATTGTGCCGATTAATTGTGTAAGAATTAGTTAGCACTAAGTTTATGAAAAATATAATGGCAATGTGGCATAGCTTTATGCTAGAAACTCTTCCAAACTTTAATTCTCAAACTGTTATAATACGTTTTTTCCATTTAAAAAGAAATTGCCTTATATAGTAGGTGCAAATAAGGTGGTTTCCCTAAATATGAGTACTATGTCTTCTGTCTAAAATGAGATCTATCACTTGTCTAGTTATCTTTAATCAAATGCCGTATAATTTACAGGTAAATATTCCAGATAAGTGACTAAAATGATAAAAGTGGCAAGACATCCATAACCGTGCACCAAGAGTAAAGAAATGACCAAGATTTAATGTAACCAAACACTCATGGGACCACAAGTAATGTACTTTACGAGGGAAGATATTTTCAAATTAATCATTATAAGAAATGAGTTAGATAAAAACATGACATCCTTACCAAACGTGTGAGTCATAGCTGTTATTCCGATTATCACCCATCACAAAAACAGACTGTTCAGGTACACGCTGCACAAAAACATGAAAATACTAAGAGTTAACAGGCTATATTCTTGTGGAAGAAATCAACGTTAACTCCAAAGATTAAAGTCAAGGTTGGTAAAAGTTTTTTGAACTCAGCACAACAAACGTTATAAAAGACCTTTTTATAGAAAGAATGGTTCTCAATTTGCTTAAAAGAAGAGGGAGATTTAGTCAAAATTGTGGGAAGTAAACATACTATCGGAGTCATTTCATAGTTGGGGTTTTCAAGAATATAATCTTCGTTTCTGGCAATTCCATTCACTATTAATTTCCCTTCATGAACCTGCACTACAAAAGAGCATAGTAACCAACAAAGAACCCCTTTCCTTGAGCATCAAAATCAGGTGCGGTGTTTTGATGGTGTTACCTCAACAGTGTCGCCTCCCTTTGCGACAATTCGTTTAATGAAGACATCATCATCAGTGTATCCCACTTCCTGAAGAACTGGAGGACTTTTGAAAATCACAATATCATTAGGACATGGCTTTCTGAACAAATAAGAGACCTGTGTACCAGGGTAAGCATCAACTTTCCGGATTGGATATCATACTATCGAACTAAGAATGTTTTAATTGGATTAGTTTCAAGTCCGAAGCAGACTAGACCAGACTTCTACAGTTATAAAATTTCAGTCCAAACCAAACACCTACCAGACCAAACTAGTTCACAACAAATCAGACTAGACCATAAAATTTCAGTCCAATTAAAAACATCTTAAACCCAACAGCACAAGCTTTATGTCATGGATGATGGATGATGCACAAACGCTGCCCTGGATGGGCATAGGAATTCAGAAGGAAAAACCATTAAGCGATGCTATGACACTTAAAGTTGTCAATCATCTGCTTTAGCATGAATATTCGATTTTGTGACTTGACTTTGTAGCCCCAATTTGGTCCTCAACTTTTACTGGACCTAATTTGGTCACTGAGTATGAAATTTGAGCTCAGTGTAGTCCTCAAACATATTTGATTCAAAACAAGAAGTGTATTTTGTCCATTGACTAAATCCAGAAAAAAACTTTGGACAAAATTTGGTCCTCAGATATGACCCAAATTAGTCCTCAACATGTAAAGGATACACTTCTTAATTAGAGAAAAATATGTATGAGGACTGACTTCAGTCTAAATTGCATATGGGGGAGGGAGGGAGAATTATGTTCAACAGATAGTTGAGGACTACCTTCAGTCTAAATTGCATATTGGGGGGAATTATGTTCAACAAATAGTTGAGGACCAAATTGAGGACCACATTGTTCAACTGAAGGGGCAAAATTGAGTATTAACTTAACTATGCAAAAAAGGACCTGCACACCTACAGGCTACAACCAGAGTGGATTGGCAAGCCCAGTGCATTACGAAAAAACTACAGGTCCAGAATTACCCTTGAAATCTTAAATTACAAGACATTTCCATATTTCTTCTAAGCTGTTCTAGTTCAAGTTCACCGTTTGAGCTTTAGTAGAAAACAAGACCAATTGGCAAAGTTCCTTAAGTCTGCCAAAATTCAATGCAGAGACCCTCAAGTCTGCCAAAACCACAATGCATTATGGAAACACTGCAGCACCAGAATTCCCATTCAAATCTTAAACTGCAAGATGTTTCTATATATCTTCTCAGTTTTTGTATATTTCTAGTTCAAGTTCACCATTTGAGCTCTTGCACTAAATAAGAGCAATTAATAAAGTTCCTCAAGTCTGAAAATTCATTGTAGAGCAGCTTTAAAATGACATGTTACTCTAAAATACATTTTTGATTCCCTAAATATAATGTATGATAGATTCTTCATTTATCATCACAAATATAACACGAAATCGCAAAAAACTGACAGCTACATGATACTCATTATAATACAAAGAGAAATGCAGAAGATATTACCTTTTCAGCGACAATCCTGTCGCCAACATCAAAGGTGGGATACATAGACAAGGAAGGTATATATCTCGGCTCAGCTACAAAGGACCTGAACGCCAAAGATATAGCCAAAGCCGCAAAAACCGTTATAGCATCATCTGAAGTGAAATCCAGCCATTCTGGCAAAACCCTGTTTCCCTTCTCAACCAATATATCATCTCCGCCACCCCCATCGTCTCCGCCTCCGCCTTCGCCTCCTCCCCCTTCGCCTCCTCCGCCTTTAGAGTCTAGCTCGTGCTTGGTCTCCTTTTCAGATTCCTGACAGCTTTTGGAGCAAAAGATAAGAAAATTGAGGTCTTTAGACTTCTCACGCTTAAAATGTGTGAAATTTAGAGTCTTGAAGAGGGGTTTGAAATTGTTTTGGTTGCAGTAGATGGTTTTAGATGAAGAATTGGAAATATTATGCAAGAAAGTTGGATTGCTGGAGTAGTGGACTGAGAAGATGTTAGGGCTATGAAGTGAAGAGCAACTATGAATGCAATGAAGTGCCATCATTGAATTGAACGGGAGAAGTTTTACACTCCAGCAAATTAGAACGCCACTATGGTCTCTGATTTTGCCTTTCTTATCTCTATTTTAGCGCTGCACAACAATAACCCAGAACCAGCATAACCCGCCCGACCCAACCATACCCGACCCTATTTAATCGGGTATTTGATTTTTAAAAATATTCATGGGTTAAATATGTTTGAACCTGCACCTAATGGGTAGGGTTGCGGAATTAAAATCTCAAACCTGATAGTACCCGATCCGGCCAAAGTCCATTTTACTATTATTATGCTACAACGTTTTCTTGGATAATTTCAATTTAAGACCAATGTGCTCTATCTAGGACTTAATGATATTAGAATTATAATTAAACATTTATCATTTTGACTAGGTGTTTAAAACATCCTATATGGAAGGATGTTTTAATACTATTACCTAATCCTTTTGCTTATAAAAGATAGTACTTGCATTTGTTTGTGTGTTTTGGAAACAAGTTAATCGAGTTTTAAATTGATTACATTAATTTCCCACATGAAAGATACAACCCGAAGTGATTTTTTTCCTCAATACCCGACCCTACCCGACCCGTTCATGCGTGGTTTACCAACTTATTTTGCGTACCGCGGGTTGGTTAATATTCAACCCGAACAAATCGGGTAGGCCAAAAAAATATAGCAAACCCAACCCGCCCGATGTGCAGCCATACAGTCTATTCCATATGCGAATGTTAATGAAGTATATTACTGCAAAGTGCGAACTCACAAAACATATACATATGAGGCCATATTTATAAAAATTAAAAGTTATGAGGGTGCATTTATAAATAATAAAAGTTATAGAGGTGTATTTATAAATAATAAAAATACAATATTTTTTTGAAAAAAATAGACATATATTATCCTCTGATGTCTACTCATTCATGGCATTGAAGCATTTTACATTTTCAAGATACTTAAAAATAAGTTCATATTTTATCTCATATACACCACCAGTACACCTCGAAATATAAATATAGTCAATAAGTCATTAATTTAAAATGAGAAATAAGTCAAACAAGTACAATTTTGCAACTCAAAGTTCTACAAAAATAAGATAGAAACCCCAATATTTTAAAAGTTCTAATACATATTTCCGTTAGAGCTATTAATTTCCAAGGATGATTAGAATTAGGGATAGGAGGATGGATGAATTAGGAATAGACCCATTAGTTGTGTATCACATAAAAGCAAGGTAATTTTTTTTTTAGTTTTTCATTTTTTAAGAATTTTATTATGTAAATTTTGAGTGTTTTTTTAAAAAGTTATTTTTTAGAAGTTTTTTTTTAAAAAGTTGATACAGGTATCCGTTAGGATACGGGTATCCGAAATTTTAAAATAATTACCAAAAAATGGAAACTTTTTAAATTTGTGGATACGGCCCGGGAACGTACGGTATGAGTATCCTAGAGTATCAGATACGAGAACGTTTCCGATACGCCAATACGGCACCGTAGTGAAGTATCCGTGCTTCATAGTTCTCGTCTCATACTCTCATGTCTTCAATTATAAAGTATGTGTCGTCCGATCGGTGTTGGGGGCCCTCGGGGATGGGGTGTCATCCTTTTTTTCAATTATAAAGTAAGGAGTAGTACCTCCCTCTAGGGCCGGGTCCTAAAAAACGAAAATCAAATCAAATTAAACTCAACCGCAATCAAATGAAACCAAACTGCTAAAAAAATGAAATTGAATGCAGAAAAAACCGAACTGAACTGTAGTTGCTTGATTCGTTTTTGATTTTTTACCCTTCAAAACCGAACCGAACTGAACAAACCGAACTTATTAAAATATGAAATTTTATTTGTTAATTTATGTTAAGCATTAATCCTAGTTAATCCTAATATCGTCAATAGTCTTTGGTTCACTTGTACTAGAGAAATAATGTTTTTGTTATGTCTAGTTGAGGGGTGTTTGGAACTGATTCTTAAAACTTCTTCTGCTCCCTGAGGTAGCAGAAGCAGAAGATGGAGTGTTTGGATAAAAGTGCAGAAGTGATTCTGGTGCTCTTTTTTACTCCTAGAATCAATTTTTTTAAAAGCTTGGGGTGACTAGCTTTCTGAAAATTGGTTCTGATTCTGCTTCTATTTTAAAAAAAGAAGTAGAAGTAGAAGTAGAATCAATTCCATATACCCCTTAGTTTAGTTTAATTTATATAAGCATTTTCACATGCATTGCGTGTAATAATGTAGATATGTGGATATACTATTATGTCTTTTATGTATGTAGTCATAATTTGTTGCATGATGATGACAATTTTTACTGGTTATTAATAGTAATTAAGTTTTATTTTTATGTAACTTAACGTTTTATATTGATAAAAAAATCATCTAAACTATATCACATAGGACGTATATATGCATGTACTTATTTCAAACTAGTCACAAACAATGTAATTTAAGAATATATACGTCCTATATAATATAATTTAGATGAATATTTATTTGTTCAAACTAGTCACTTTTATCTATCTTGCATACTCATATAATTCAATACATATTTATTTCTTCTCACTTTTATTTTATTTGTTGTAGTATATATACTTTCATTTTTTATGTAATATGATTGATTCCTCCCACTATTATTTCAATTTTAAATCAAATGACAATTTTCTAGTAAAAATCGAAAAAATCGAAACCGAACTGAAACAAACAGAACCGATCAAATCGTGGTTCCAAGTTTTGAAATGTAAAACTGAACTGAAACCGAACTGAACTTTTGCTTTGATTCTATATTTGGTTCTAGGTCAAAACCGAACCAAAAGAACCGAACCCACTCATACCTCCCTCCATGAAACCTTATCATTTTATGAAATTTGAATTATGTTGTTAATTAGTATAGTATCATACAAGTTATAAGTTTATAACCTTACTTTTAACAAATGACACTTTCATATAATTTCTATATTATAAATACTTTTCAATAAAAAATGTAATTGATCAAAGAGTCAATTCCCTAAATAGGACTAAAAAGTGGCAAAATTGCACAAATAGGACTACATTTTTTAAATTCCCTTAATAGGACTATTTATGTGTGTTTGGACAAATATACCCTTGTAACTTGTAAAATGTTTTAATTAATAATAAAATCATAAAAAAAATTATAAAAATTGAAAAAAATACTAAAAAATCGTAAAAAAATAAAAGAAAATTAATAAAAAATATTTTTAAAAAAAATAAAAAAAATATTTAAAAAAAATAAAAAAAATAAAAAAAATCATAAAATAAAAAAAAAACATTACCACCCCTGCCACCCCCAGCACCACCAACTCCCATCACCGGAGAAAAATATGCCAACATTTTAAATAATGCCATAATGATGGCATATTCAATGAAAATGTTGGCATATTGAAGAGTAATTATGCCATCTTTTTGGCATTTTCAGAAAAATATGGCATTTTTTACCAAAAGTGGAAGAAATTTCACCAATCGGAGGTGGTGGTGCTGGGAGGCGGCGAGAGGCGGTGGGAAAAGTATCCATATTTTTTTCATTTTTTATGGGTTTTTACAATTTTTTATTATTTTTTTAAAAAAATTTAAAAAATAAAAAATTAATTTTTTTATTTTATAAATGTTTTATAAATTTTTTACAATTTTTTTACGTTTTTAAAATATTTTTTACATTTTTTATGATTTTATTATGAATTAAAGCATTTCATTATGAATTAATACTCTTAGGGGTATTTAGGGTAGAAAATCAATGTTTAGTCCTATTTAGGGAATTTTAAAAGTAGTAGTCCTATTTGTGCTTTTTAGGAACTCATTAGTCCTATTTAGGACAATTTCCGTTGATCAAAGTTTTAAAAATAACAAAAAAATTTGGGACAGGTAGCATTTCACATCATATACTCCCCTACCTATCTATCAATCGTGGTTTGGGCAGGGTGACCATTCTAGCTTTTGGGTCGAATATATTGTGATTTGAATATTAAATAAGTTTTAAAAAAATGTATTCATGATTCGAATTCGTATATAACTATTTGAATTTGAAAAACTCAAATAAGAATATAAATAACAATAATACTTTAGATTGAAACGTTTATCGAATACAAATAACAATAACAACACCCACAATATAGCTATTGTAATACTACCTCCGTTCTTAATAGTCCTCCTTGATTTTTTGTGGTTTTTAAGAAAAAAACAGTAGAGGTATCATAGAGAGTGTAGAGTAAATGAAAAAGTAGGAAATAGAATATATTAAGAAAAGTAAAGTAATAAAAAGTATGAGATAAAACAGTATGTAGAAAGTAAAAAATGGTAAAAGTAACAAAAGTGGCGGTATAATTGTATTTTGATTTAAAAAACTTATCAAAAATGAAAAGAAAGACAAATAATTAAAAAACATCTCAAAAAGGAACACGAGACATTTAATAAAAAAACGGGGGAAGTGTTAACAATAATAAATATAATTGGTAGATTATTACTTAGCTATGTAACGTGTATGTCCATGACGTGCACTTTGTCACGGTGCGTCAAAATAAATTCAATACTAGCACTAATACGTAGTATAGCGTAGTAGAGTTCGTATCCACAGGGAAATGAATAATTCTCTTTTTATAAAACTAGTAAATAAATGGGGGGTTAGGATTGAATGATTTACTTTAATTAAACACAAAGATGAACAACTTATATGTGATTTAATTCAAAGATAAAAAGGACTTGGCATTGCTACTTTCCTCTTGTTGATATATTTTAGTCGATCATTGTTATATCTATAACTTATCCCCTCTCGAATACTCAATCGAGGAGTATATCCAATTCATCGAGGGTAGTTATTAACAACGATCGTTCATTAATAACCCTTACTATTAGTCAAGTACAGAACACCGTCATATACCGACTTGATAGTAGCATTTAATCTCTTAACTCCTTGATGAAATTCATTGAGATTGATAATCTCAACACAACGGTTTTGGTTTAACCAACAAAATCAATCCCTCTTAAGTTTAATAACCACGACCGTGCATTAATAAATCGAAGTTACTTACTTGTGAAACCATCAACGATTAACAAGCGTATTCGCCGATCGATTCTAGTAATAATTAATAAATGAAGCAAAACTAGTTGATCTTTTAAGTAATGTT